CATTGTTTCCACCAACTTTTTTCCACTATATTCCTCTTCTATTTTGACGAGTAACCAATTCTAGAAGAATTTGGCTTATCTTCCACTATTTGGCGGGATTCACTAAAATTTGGAGAAAAAGAAACTCATCCCAAATAGTATAATTGTTGAGGAATTGAAAGAAATAGTCAATTCCACCCAATTTTTAATTTTTTTTTGAGGTTTTTAGCAGAAATATCACACCTTTAAAATTCACTTAAAAGATGACAAAAATGTCACATGTTCTTTGAAAAAGACGAAATTTCCCTCCATATTTTCTGCTAAGAGTTTATTGAGGGGGCATGTGATGTTTCGTTGATATGACATATACCAACCAACATAAATGTTTATGCTAATCTCATGTACATGTAGAAGATATGCACATATATGTACACGATCGAAGATATGCACACAACATATACATTAACACAAATATGGATTCAACAATTTTAATGATATATAAATGTGGTAAAACTATTCTTTCTCTCCTCTTCATTCCACACACGAAACTTAATATTTTTAATCAATTAATCTAATTTTGATTGTATTTCTCATTTTAATAGTTTTCACGTTTCTCGTTTTCTCCCTTTCATAATTTCATTTTTTATATACAATGCAATATAATTCTATCTTTAATCTTTTGATACCCATTTTACTATATTTAATTAAATTTATTTTTAAATTACCTTTAATAATTTTGTATTTTTTATACGATTATTTGTATGGAACATAAATATCTATGTACTATAACTACTTACATGTATATGGTACATTAAATGAGAATTTGTGTTAAGTATTGGTGTTTTGGAGACGTTTTTAACACTTAGGCTATGTACATATACATCACACACTGTTACATCTCATGATGAATTTACACAATCTCCACAAAACAATACAATGTACGACGTTAACTTTTATGTAGGTACGCACACCGCATACATCGTCTACCTCTAAGAAAGTATGTACAACACTCTCACAGACCAATGAAATGTACAACACTATTTATTAATACTAGACCAATACGCGGGTTTTTCTTTATATACATATTCTTTTCTTTTGCATTACATATATGAATTATTAGATGTTATACCGATTTTAATTTTAGATTTTCTTTCTTTAAGAGAATGGCCTCTGATAGTGTTGTATTTTAGATTGTATTTCTTTACAAAGTTTTAGACTCGATTGTTGTCTACACTGCGAGGGTACGTGAAGGTATAACGACGGTGAAAACATCTTTCTAAACAATTATTGTATAGTAGACAATAATTTATGTTTTCTCCATTTACCCTCTTGCAGACCATTACGTTCATCTGTTTGTCTCTGTAAATGTCAACAAAATTGATACTACTTTGTCTTCACTAAAAATTTTGCC